AAGTATTTCGCTAAACAAAAGCCAAACTACAGCGAACTGGAATGTCAGAATGGTGAGTCATGAGACTGTTTACTCTTTTAACGGAACTTTCAGATGCGAACAACAGGAAAGAAATTCACCTGTTTCAATATTCTGGAGAGAGTCTGGCAAGTTTTTTTTTTTTTTTTTTTTTTTTCTTCCCTCGAAGAGGCGACTCCCAGATCAAGTCGGGGCCCGTTAGATGCACTTTCCCCCTCTTTCTGCACGGAGACAGAGCTCCATTCATGTTACAAGCTGAATACGTGGGAGGAAACGGCCCTGGAACTTTCCCATATGGCTCTTATTTTATGCTCCTTTACAAATGAGAAAGCTTGACATCGTACCATACCAAATAAGAACAGAAAACAGAGAGTGGATCTTCTTCTGCCCTTATTTGATCCATAAAGTGAATTTGTTGTAATTTACTGACTTTAATGCTGCTTCCTAACTGCCCTCCTCTTTTCCCTTCAGATACTTCACTGGAGACCTATCCTCTTGCTGAGGTGCCATCAGCAGACCACAGCACCTCCACCTGCTTCACCACAGGTCTGGTGTGGGACCTGAGCGTCCTCCCCGCCCTCTACCTGCCCACTGCCCATTCGGAGGCCTCTGGCACCTCGGGCCCTCTGGACCTGAGCTCCCCTTGCAGCCTCAGCAGCAGCGCCAGCAGCAGCGGCGAGGAAGACGAGGGGCGCAGCTCGGACCCCCCCAGCCCAGAGCCCGTCATCACGTACGCCCCTCGCCAGAGGATGAAGTGCACTGGCGTCATGGGCCACGTCAGCCCCCCAGAAGAAGAGGAGGAGAGAGGAGAGACCCCGGTGATAGCGGCCAGGCCGGCTTTCCTCTGCAAACACTGCCCCAAGGAGTACACCAGCTTGGGGGCTCTGAAGATGCACATTCGCTCACATACCCTACCCTGTGTCTGCACTACCTGCGGCAAGGCGTTCTCCAGGCCCTGGCTGCTGCGCGGCCACATTCGCACACACACAGGTAAGGTTGAAATCTGCTCCGAGAGGATTGCACAACGCTTCAAATTTTCCCCTGTTCACTTGATCTGTTATTAGCTTTGGGGCCCCTGCCAGCCTGGGGACCCCAGGGGAACATATACACAGGTTTTCAAATGCATTAGCACTGTTGGGGGTTCCTAATTTTGGGAGATCAGTGATCGACTGATACATATTAAGCTGATCTTATCTACCTTGGCAAAGGTCTATTTTGCCATTTTGCTCTGCCATGAGAGAGTTTTCACCGTCAGTCCCGCCCACCGGGCCATGTCTGCATGTTTGCAGTTAACAATAGTCACCCACTGTTGCCAACTCAGCGCCTTTCTTGCTAAATTTTGCAACATTTCAAACAACAATAAAAAAAATCTGTATCGGCCAAAACTGGAATTGTCAGGTCAGGCTTTTTAAAGATTGGTAATCGTTGATTGGCAAGAAATCACCCCTAAAAAATACTCCTTTTGTCTGGGATGAGGTCTCAATCCTTACACAGTTTGTAAGTCGATCCTTTCTTCATATGACTATCATGGAAAAAGCTTTAAACTTCACCAAATTACAGACTCAGCTTAAGGTGAGCACCCTGATGAAGTTCTGCTGATGACCTCAGACTAGCTTGAGACAGCCCTCAGTCTATGGATGTGGAAATCAGGGGCAGTCGTTCCGAGTCAGCAGGTTACCTCCCCCGTCATTTTGTCATAACAATTTATCTGATGAACTCAACACTTGATCATCAGACATTACCACACAGGGAAGCCCTCCGTGGACTCATTGATCATTCATTGTGCTTAATGTCTCAGCAACAATGAGTTCTCGGTTAATTATCTTATCACGGCTGACCGGGGGTGGGGGAGTGGAGGCACCTGAGTGGGGGCAGAGGAGGGACAAAAGGTTTAAAGAATGCCTGGAGGCTCGCTGTTATCACTGAGTACTTAGTACCTGCAGTAACTTGTTAGCGCGTTAATCTCATTTGGTTCTGATTGAATCATGCTAATTCAGTCAGGCTCTGACCCCAGCAGCCAGCCATGTGATCCTCATTATCTTAACAATGTGTCTGTGTTTATACATGTGTGTTTGTGGGCTTGTGTGTGAGGTGTTAATAGAGAGCTCCCATCAATATAATCCAGTATCACTACTGTAGTCGCATTTCAAGGAAGCTGTATTGGTGTAATGTTTGAGTGCAACTCTCACACTCAGCACATTTAGATAAGAATGAATGAATTCCATTTGCTACCGGCATTCCTCAAGGTTGTGTCCTCGGCTTCTTCTTCTTCAGCATACATCTCCTCTTCTTTGCTTCTATATTGTGAAGCTTCCATGAATTCAATATCAATTAAAATTGCTTTGCATAAAACATCCTTCATCTTAGTGCACTTCCTCCTGATCTGAGGCTAGTAAACACTGATTCACCTCAAATACCCTCAAAACATCAGCCGTTAAGCTGAGATTCTGCACGTTGGTACAAGGTCAGCTCTTTTCAGCAATTGACAATTCTAGCAATTCCTCCAGGTTAAAAAAGCCTGACCTGCCGATGCCGATTTTGGCAGATATAATTTTTTTGTTTGCTTGTTTGAAAAGTTGCTAAATATACAACAAAGTCTCTAAGTCAGCAACAATGGGTTGAGTACTGTTAACTGCGTACGTGCAGACATGTCAGTTAAACCAGACTCACGGCTGAGCAAAAAGGGGACATTGGACGATTTTCAGAGCTTTGTAGAGGTAGATAAGATCGGTGGGTAAGATTAGTTTCTCATGTAGGCATTGGTCGATCTCCCAAAAATGAGGTAATCTGAGCCAGATTACCTACTTAAAAGTCTAAATGTCATTCTGAATAGTTCTCCGTCTTAAACCGCTCACATAAATAATGCCACCTTGTGTCAATGTAAATCATCTCTGTCTTTTTTTTGACACCATTCTCTTCCTCCATATTTTCTCACTTCCTGGTCAGCTACCTTATTGATTATTGTAACTTCCTTCTGTTTGGTCTCCATCTCTGGTCCCTATATCTTCCGTTTGTTCAGAACATCTTATTGACTCAACACAGTACTCCGGCTCTCCTAGAACTTCACTGACTTCCCTTTCTGTACCACATAACCCTGCTAGACCTTACACATCTAAACTCTTGTGCATCTACAAAAATTTCCCTCGCTCTCAGTCTTTCCTCCTCCACTCGTAATTGTCCAAAAAGTCACAACGCTTCTTCCACTCTCAATCATAACCCAATCATAACTGTTTTGAGAGTAATTTGTTTTTTGTTTTATCTTGTGTTTTTAATGTAATTTCCTTATTCTCTGCCCAGGTGAGCGTCCGTTCTCGTGTCCCCACTGCAACCGGGCTTTTGCGGACCGTTCCAACCTGAGGGCCCACCTGCAGACCCACGCCGAGGTGAAGAAGTACCAATGCGGCGTCTGCTCTCGCACCTTCAGCCGCATGTCGCTGCTGCAGAAGCATAGCTCCTCGGGATGCTGCTCCACTTTGGGCTGAGGCGCTGCGAGCGTGCGGAGGAAAACCTAACGGGACATCAGCAGGGTGGAAAACTTTTTGTGAAACCCAGTTAGATTGTTTAAGACATCGCAAAGATCACAAAATTGCCAAACTTTAAGAGACCTTGAGGGAATCAAACCTCACCGGGGACCTGACTTTACAAGCGTTTTCTCTTCTCTGTTCCCTCATAAAACAGTCGAGAAGCATTTTTTTTTCTACCTTCTTCTATTGTTGACTGAGTTTTTGAGGCTGGACCATCTGAACTGAACAAAACTCACTAAACATTGGTGCCTTTTGTCGCTGTCTGTGCCCATTCCAAACAACGCATAACGTGAACTGGTCGGGGCAAGAGGCGTCTCTCCTCCCATCTTCGCCCTGGTGCCGGTCAGCTCAGGATCATGGCCTAGACGCAGCTGCTCAGAGGTAGGGGTGCGTGGGTGGGATAAATCCCTTGGCGCTTCTCGAAGCAGCACACACTCGCGCACGCGCCCACAGACACAAAAGCAAATGCACACACAGCTGTCCTTGGTGCTGTGGTGCAGATAGATGAGGTGCTAACAGGTGCTGCAGCCATGACCTTCGCTGGCTGATAGCAGGTGACTTCCACTGCCCTTGGTTTGCTTAAGGAAAAAAGAGGAAGCATGTCATCGCAGAAGAATGGCACCAGTTAATGTTTTTTTGTTTTCCTTTTTCTCTTTCTTTCACTGATGTGGATCATTGTAAGCCTCTGTTTTGACTTAAACCAGAACCTCTGCCTTAATCCGTCAGGGTTTAGAGATGGGGAAAAGTCATTCTTGCTGTTTTCCAAAGGTGATTCAGTGTGCAGCTCTCCTGCAATCATGTATAAAAAAAAAGCCAATGCACTCAAGGTTACTACAGTGTTATCGATACCAAGCCAAAGCCATATGACTCAAATGAATGTGCCTTGAAATTGTATTATTCGTACAAACCATGCCTATATTTTTTTCTTCTTATACCTCATTTAGCTGATGTGGCTTTAAAATCTGACTTCAGTATTGAAAGAAAATTTGCTTAAGTTAAGAACTATCAGAAGGCTGAGACCAAAGATGTAGGCAGTTTACACCATGGAAACATGGTTGCCTAACATGTGATGAAAGCCATGTAAATGGACCATACTGAGATGAATTTCTCACGTTCCTAAATGTTTTACAGCTGTTTTTTTTTTTGTTAGTGCAATGCGCAGATGTTTTATTTTGTTGTTTTTTTTTCTACTAAGCCTTTGTGTTCATCTTTAATTCTGTATGTCGTAAATGATGCATTTTCAATAAAGTAATTTATGTTTATTAAAACTCGCATTGTTGATTTCCCCCTACCCCCCCTGTTTTTTTATCACGAGGAGACGGGTATAAGACTCCCCGCTTTCGCTTTAGAGAAGTCCGTGCGGCTGCAGCGCTGATTCATAAAACGTCTGTTTGATCATTAACCGGGAGAATAATAAGCGGTTTGGAGAAAACGGGCTGTTGCGTCGAAACGTTGCAGATGCAGGTGAGCGGCGCGCTGTGATTGGTAGGAGCGACGGAATGCACCTGCTTCTAGTTTCCACCTGCTGCCATCTACTTCTCTCTGTGGCTGTGTAAACACTGCAGCATATGCAAATGTGAGCGTTTTAGGCGCAAGTGCTAAGCCAAGTGTCGTGTCATTCGGTGGATTTTAGAGGAACTGAACTGTGCTGGACGAGTTCTGAACCGACCCTTATGTGGAGTTTTACTTAGACGTGCTCTATATCAGCGATTGATGAGTGTTTATTTTTTTCGCCTCTTGGTGAGAGCACAGCATATATTCCTAGACAGTGAGTCAAAGTCTGGCGCTTTAGGTTCCCATGGCTCCTCCGCTCTCAGTCAGTAAGTCAAGCTAGTAGTCACTGTGCCTGTCAGTCAGTCAGTCGCCGTGCGTGGGCCGAGGCCTGCGCCTTGGCCGTGCAGCGCGGAGTGAGGTAAACTGTTCCACAGCATCGTTCCTGGTTTCCTTCTGACTCAGGGATATGTGCTCACAGCTAGCATGCAGTCTGACTGACTCACCTCAACTGCTGTATATGGGATTTCTTGAAACCAGGATTGGGGCTGGTGTGACAACTCGGAAAAAAAAGAAGAAAATTTTACAGTATCGTGGTGCTTTATTTAATATTTATATCAAGAACAAACATCAAACGGGACTATTTGCTTCGTACCGGGACAAACAAGAATCACTCTTGTTCTCGCAAAAAACAATTATGTCAATGTCAAGAATCAGGATCTAAAAGAGTAGCTTGAAAGTGAAGTAACATTTCGTCACTATTTCATGAACCTAGCAAAGCGCAAGAATGCACATAAGTTTATTAGCCCATATGTTATAAAAGATTTATCTTGAACTATTTTCTGCTGGTAATGTATGGGGAGCCATTTGTAAAGTTACCCAGTAACAAATCAACAGTGGTGGGAAGTACTTGAGTACAATTTTCATGTATCTGTACTTTACTTAAGTAGATTTAATAATGGGTACTTTCTANATTTTATTAGTGACGGGGCAACAAAACGGGCCTTTTTGTATTAAAAAACACATTTTTGTGGGGGGCCCCCTAGTGGTCAGGCCTTTGGAGGCTAACACTCGGTTCTGGTCCTGGCCCTGGTCTTAACTCTGGTTCTGGACCTTGTTCTAATTTTGGCCCAATTTTAAAGCTGGTCTGTGTCTGTAGGTTCGACATTCCCGAGCCAGCGCCAGCCGAATCGGACCCGATGGACGGGTTGGAGCAGCTACTCAGCGCCGACCTCAAGCGGTTCCGTAAAGAGTTTGTTCAGCCGGTCCAGCTCAGGTATAGAACTCCTGCTGGCAGTCCAGGTCCTGGTTCTGGTTCTGATGTGCGGCCCGTGTCGTCCTGCAGGGTTCTGAACGTGTGCCGCCACTGGGTGGAGCATCACTTCTACGACTTCGAACGAGACCCGGGTCTGCTGAGTCGACTGGAGGACTTCATCGCTTCGGTCAGAGGTCGGTGCCGGTCCAATACCCATCCAGAACCAACACTAACACCTACAGAACCAAAACCAGATCCAGAACAGTGCTGACCCACCTCCTGCTGCAAGTTTGACCTGCCTACCTGGATCCACTCAGGGCTCAGGTCCACTGGACCCGGAGTGGACCTGAGCCCTCTTCGCACTGCAGGGCCCGGCCCGGTTCGAGCCGGTCCCATTGGTGCCATGGCCCTGGTCGTTTTGCATTGAGCAGGATAAGTCATGTAAATCGACCCGTTGCTAAAGCTACCGAGGCGATCTCGAGGAAGCTGAGGAAACGTTTACCTCAGCTTCACATTTAACCAAAACAATCTCATCTGAATGTCGTCTCTGAGCTGGACTCGCGGCAGGCGGGATTTCCAGGCTGGAGCGAACCCAGATATGGAAATCCCCTCGTTTACAGCCTGGCCGACTTCTGATTGGTTCATTGGAGAAATGCTATTTACATTTACTGTTAAAATCTTTCGCTGAAGAGGCGAATGTAATCCCAGTGTAGGGTAAGAACAGATTATGACGGGAATTTATTGATGCAGCATATTGGAACGTCAGCCATGGAGAAAGTCCAGCGCTCCTCTGACCCAGAGATCTGGTCTTTGTCCCGCCCCCACAGCCAATGAACCAATCAACAGCTAACTCCAATCAGCCCGGTCTGGCCGGCCTGGTTGGAACTGCAGCTCTCGGGGTTCCGGGGAGCCGGGCGGTACCGGGCTGGAAACGCTAATGCAAAAAGATGTGCAGTGCGAAAGGGGCTCTGGACTTGGACTTGGACTGGACCTGACTGGATTAGACCTTGACTTGGACCTGCACAGAACCCAAAGGTTGTACCTGTACTAGAAGACGCTGTCCCTTTAAGACAGCTCTACTTCCTGGGTTTTATTTCAGAATCCTGAATAGTGATTGGTCAGCAGGGAGAGGGGGAGCGCCCCCTGCTGGGCGCCACACCAACCTGCTGCTGGTTCTAGATAACAGACTTTCAGCTGGTTCTGTTGGTGATTCTCAACCTGACTGCTGGTGTTTGGTGAGCGGTTCTGCGGACCCGGTCCGGTCCGGTGAGCAGTTCTGGTTGTGTTGCAGGGAAGGCCATGAGGAAATGGGTGGAGTCCATCACTAAGATCATCCAAAGGAAGCAGCAGGTGCAGGTGAGCCAGGTGAGCCCCCCCCCCAGCATCACCTTCCAGAACTCTCCCCCCCCCATCGAGTGGCACCTCTGCAGGCAAGGAGCCGTTGAGACCTTTGACCTCATGACCCTTCACCCCATCGAGGTCGCCCGTCAGCTGACGCTGCTCGAGTCTGACTTCTACAGGTAACATACGTTTCCCAGTGCGCCAGGCCCATCTGACCTCTGACCCCTGACCTCTGACCTGGGCCCTCAGGGCAGTGCGTCCGTCTGAGCTGGTGGGCAGTGTCTGGACCAAGGAGGACAAGGAGCTGCACTCGCCCAACCTGCTGAGGATGATCCGGCACACCACCAACCTCACACTGTGGCTGGAGAAGTAAGACATGGAGCCCACCTGTAGGGTACCAGGTGGACTCTTGGTGTCCTCAAGGTGACGTCCACTCAGGCTGCCGTCTCTCTGCAGGTGCATTGTTGAGACGGAGAACCTGGAAGAGCGGGTTGCCGTGGTTTCTCGGATCATCGAGATCTTGCAGGTTTTCCAGGAGCTGAATAATTTCAACGGCGTTCTGGAAGTGGTCAGCGCCATGAACTCCTCACCTGTCTATAGACTGGACCACACTTTCGAGGTAGAGCTCCCTGATGCTCCGCCCATCCACCTGACCCACAGAACATGGTCCAACAGGTCTGGCAGGTCCAGATCACATGGTCTCAGATGCATCATGGGATCTATCGGATCTGCCATCTTGTTTACAGAACCAGACAGAATGCATGTTGATGACTGCCATATTGGGGACCTGGTGAACAGAACCACTGGTACCGATTCTGACAAAACTGCTTCTGTTTTAGCAAATCCCGAGTCGCCAGAGGAAGATCCTGGAAGAAGCTCATGAGCTGAGTGAAGATCACTACAAGAAATACCTGGCCAAGCTGCGCTCCATCAATCCGCCCTGCGTCCCGTTCTTTGGTACAACCCGACCGTGGCCTGCTGGTACCGGTACCAGCAGAACTCTGCTCTGATGGTGCTGTTTGTGCTGTAGGGATCTATCTGACCAACATCCTGAAGACGGAGGAGGGAAACCCGGACTTCCTGCGGCGACACGGCAAAGACCTGATCAACTTCAGCAAGAGGCGGAAAGTGGCAGAGATCACTGGAGAGATCCAACAGTACCAGAACCAGCCTTACTGCCTGAGCGTGGAGCCTGACATCAGGGTGAGGCGCTGCTGATGTCACTTCCTGTGTCATGGAGTAGGGTTGAAGGTAATCTATTGTGTCTGTGGAGCAGAAGTTCTTGGAGAACCTGAACCCGATGGAGGACATGTCCGAGAAGGACTTTGCTGATCATCTCTTCAACAAGTCCTTGGAGATCGAACCTCGAAACACGCGGTCATTGCCTCGTTTCGTAAGTGTTGCCATAGTAACTGCCCATCACATGTTAATTTGTTCCATGACATGTTTTCATTCCTGGTCCAGGTGAAGCGGTACAGCTGTCCTCTGAAGTCCCCGGGGATCAGACCCACGTCAGCAAGGGTCAGCACCATGAGACACCCGACCCCACTGCAGAACGAGCCCAGGAAGATCAGCTACAACCGGGTCACCGACAGCGAGTCCGAAGGCGGCGTCATCTCTGCTCCCAACTCCCCCCGCACGCCGCTGACTCCGCCCCCAGCCTCCGCCGCGTCCAGCTCCACAGATGTGGGCAGCGTGTTCGACTCGCCTCAGGGTCCAAGCAGCCCCTTCCACTCAAGTAAGACCTGATCTCTAGCTGTGCCCACTAACATTAGCCACACCCACTGATCATGACCACGCCAAAACTGGCCCATATTCTAACCCCACAAACCATAGCCCCGCCCACAGACACTAGCGCCGCCCACTGATACCAGCTCCGCCCATAGACTAGTATTTGAGGCCAGTAGCTGTTGGGAGACATAAATTTGACTTTGACTAGCTTGCAAACTGTAACTCCGCCCACACATACCAAGCACACACCCTCCCTCTGACAGCTGAATCACGCTAACTCCGCCCACTGAGGGCGGCCAGACGCCCCTCAGTGGGATCACGACCAGCATCCAGAGCCGTTCGCAGACGTGATTAGCAGGATATTCCTTTCTGCTCAGTGATGTTCTGATCTTGTGATTCACACTAACCTTCATCTATGAACCAGTTTCCACAGCAGAACCGGGCCGGTTCTGCTCCTCTGACCCGTTTGTTCTGCTTGCCCTGCAGCCTGCGACAGCATATTTGCTGTAATCTCTCTGCCTCACGGCCCACGTTAGTATGACCTTCAAGACTCTCCGTCATCACACCTCACCTGTTGGCGCACGCCTAGGTTCAGGCTGGCCGGTGCTGGGCGGGAAAGTTTGGGTCTGCATCCGGGTTCTGTAGGGCGTATGAATATATTTGGGCCTGGCGCTGAATGAAACAGCACGGAACGGTTTTTCGAATCTGAGTCATCTCTGCTGGTTCAACTTAAGAACCATCAGAATTTCCAGTGGTGAGAAGTAACGAAGTATAAGTACTTCGTTACTGTACTTAAGTACAATTTTCATGTATCTGTACTTTACTTAAGTAGATTTAATAATGGGTACTTTTTACTTTTACTCCACTTCATTTAACAGTAAGTATCTGTACTTTCTACTTCACTACATTTCTACAAAACCGTCGCGTGACTCGTTACATCCAAGTCGCACTGCTCTCTTTTTGTCCGTTAAAATGTGAAGTTTTAAGGTGGCGCCGTAAAATCCGAGCAATAACGTGACTTAGTGTCTGTTGTCACCCATCGCCTCCACCTTTACTCGCACGCGGAGCTCCAGACATGCGCAGTGGTTTCCTCTGAGCGGGAGAAGATGTCTGTCTGATCGTCAGTAATATAATAGCTGCATAAATCATAGATATGGCGACATGTAAAATAAGCAGCGCTTCGCTTTCACAGACGGTGGGGATTTAGTCCAACTTTTAGCGTCACTTGGAAGGAAAGCTTAAAGAAAGGTAAGCTCCGTGGACGTGATGCTAGCAAAGCTAGCTGTACTGAGACACATGTTGCATCTGCGATGAAAAAAAGTTGTCACTCATTCGCTGAATTATTGTGTGGAGGTGTTGACTGAGGTGTCGCATATATGGGACAACGTTGTGACCAAAGTCTGCATTGATATGACATTCAGGAACGATCCAATTCTTCTGGACGGATCTTTGCTGATTAAATTTATTTCAGCTCTAAGTATTTAATATCTAGGTGTTTTATGGAATGTGGATCTTTTAGATCAATTTGAGAAGCAATTTTGATAGGTAAAACTTAATTTTTTTGTGTCACGTAGCGCGGGGTGCTGGTCTTGGTCCTGACTTGGTCTTGGGTAGGTGGTCTTGACTACAACTCTGCTATGTGGCTCCTCGGTTGCATGTCCTCCCCCACCCACCTTCTTTCCATCCCCTTTCAGTTGGATTTCTTTCAAAATAAAAGCCACTAGTGGCAACAAAAAGTGAAGTTCATGCTATGTTAGGACAGGAGACAAGATGTTTCCATCCCTGAAATTATGATGCATAGAATCACATATTTAAGTCTAAACTATGTTACAGAGTAAACACAATAAAAACATGCTTTATCTGTGGTATTATTCATTAAAATGGCACATTTCTGATGTATTAAAATTAAATATGATTGGTTCACTTAATGATATTGTATTAGCGATTAGGTAATGCATTCAGCAAGTACTTTTACTTTTAATACTTAAGTATTTTTAAAAGCCAGTACTTTTTTACTTTTACTTAAGTAAAATGTTAATGTGGTAGTTTTACTTTTACTTGAGTACATTTTTTGAGTACTTTCTCCACCACTGAGAATTTCTTCAGATCCTGGAATCATTGGGCCGTCGGTTCTGCTGAGGATGCATCATGGACCCACCCAGCACTGACCTGTCTCACCTAGTCAACACCTGTCTCCATGGAAACCATCAGCTCACCCTCTGACCATTGGAAGGAAACACAACTACTGGCGCATTAGCTATCAGGTTCCATAATGAGTTCATTGGGACAGAAACTGCAGCCTGGCAGAACCCGGGACCGGTTCTCCAGATTCCAGTCCAGTCATGGATTAGAACCAGTTTACCAGATAGGACCCCAGTCTAAAACCAATCCACGTGCTGGTTACGGAACCAGACTGTAGTCGGGTTTCCTTTAAATCATTCCTTCATCGGGTTTGTGTTCTTCCCGGGTCCACCAAATATTCTGGATGTTTAACCGGTTCTGACTCATCTCGTGTCAGGGTCGTCCTCCGTTTCTTCAATGGTGAGCTTCAGTCGGACAGCAGAGGACACTGCCGTCCCGCCTCCAGTTCCGCCACGCAGACGACCTGAATCGGCTCCTTCTGAGTCCTCCCCCTCCAAGGTACCGCCAACACAACCAGCCAGTAACACAACCAGTCAGCAACAACCAGCCAGTAACACAACCAGCCAGTAACACAACCAGCCAGTAACACAACCAGTCAGTAACACAACCAGTCAGTAACACAACCAGTCAGTAACACAACCAGTCAGCAACAACCAGCCAGTAACACAACCAGTCAGTAACACAACCAGTCAGCAACAACCAGTAACACAACCAGTCAGCAACACAACCAGTCAGCAACAACCAGTCAGCAACACAACCAGTCAGCAACACAACCAGTCAGCAACAACCAGTAACACAACCAGTCAGCAACAACCAGTCAGCAACAACCAGTCAGCAACACAACCAGTAAACATCTTGTTTCTGCCCCTCCCCTTCCTGTTTCTGCCCCTCCCCTTCCTGTTTCTGCTCCTCCCCTTCCTGTTTCTGCCCCTCCCCTTCCTCCTTGACTCCGCCCCTCTACAGATCCAGTCAGCGTTGGACAGCCCCCCCGCTGTGCCTCCTCGCCAGCCCACCTGTAAGCTCCTCCCCCCTCGTTACTCATCGCTGTCCTCGTCTCCCCCTGACAGCCCCCCCTTGCTGCCTCCCCGAGAGCCTCTCAGTTCCCCCCTGCACCTCCTCCCTCCCCCACAGGGGCGCTCTCGCTGCGACGTCTTGTCCCAGGCCTTCTTCCCCTCCTCCTCCTCCTCTTCATCTCTGAGCTCCACCCCCGCACCCTTGTCTTCTTCACCGCCGCTCACCCCCACAGGAAGGAAGATGCCCTTCCCCTCCCCACCTCTAGATGGCCCCCCGGTGCCGCCCCGCCACAGCGTCCCCAAACTGCCCCCCAAGACGTACAAGAGGGAGTCTCTGAGCAACGCGCCCCCTGCTGGACACGCCCCCTGCTCTGCGGTTGGACATCTTGTGAAAGAGGCGGAGCTGGAAACACTATAGTTGATTGGACGAACAAAGAAGGTTCTGACCCATCAGAACCAAGCTGAAACTGGATCCAGATGGTCTCTTTTTCCTGTCCTGGAAGCTCGTGGTCATTTCATTTTTGGTCCTCATCTGGGAGCTGTGGGAACCGGATCAGAACCAGTTGCACGTGTTGAGAACTGATTGGACCCGAGGCTAAAGTGGCTGCGGGAACTGTGGTCCGCAGCCTGCAGGTACTGGTCCAGAACCTGAGGTACTGATGCTGGTTCTGGTGACATGATGTTTGTTTTTGTTTGTTGTTGTAAACAAAGGGAATAAATGTTTCTGCCTCCGACTCGGTGCCACTCTTTATTTACCTCCATGGTCCCACTGAGCATGCTCAGTCCAACTCACCTGCTCAGGAGCTTCTCAGGGTTCAGGTCCGGGTCTTTGGTGGTTTTTCATGCTGACCTGTCCTGTTCCCCAAGAGTTCTACAGAACCACCCAAACCTGACAGAACCGATTTCCCAAGCTTCCAGTTTGGATCCGTCCTGCCTCCTCCTGGTTCTGCTGCTTGTCGTGTTTTTCAGACCGGACCCGAGTTCTGTTTCTAAATGAGATGAAGGACGTGGTTGGATGTTGTTATATGTGGTGGGGTTAGAGTTGCCACCTTTCAGAAATCAAAATAAGGGACGTCCACCACGGCGTGCCACCCTATTCTCGTGGGGTGGGATGGCCGCTGCAGCTGTGGACAATATTTATGGCAGTGCTTTTTGTTTTTAAGAAGTGATCCAGAGGGGGCGCTGTGGGGGCGCAAAGCACAACCCACATATTGAGGCCTTAGTTAATGTGGCGGTGGTCGCAGGCAGCATGTCTTCCCCCCTCTCATTACCCACTTTCCTGTCAAACTACTTCCAAATAAAGGCAACTATAGCCAACAAAACCTTCAAAAACCAACAGTGATCCAGAGAGCAATCATTCATACTTAGAGTACTCCAAAATTGTACTCCAATCAGAGCAGCACACTTTAAACACATTTAATTAAAAGCAAGTGTAAAATGTGTTTGGGAAACTATTCAAGTACTGAGTAACTGATCATAATACCTAATTTAATAATCACAATGTGTCCTCAAACAGAGCTCCAAAAGTATAAAAGTTATGTGAAAATTCTGGTAAAGAGTATTACTAAAATATTTATAAAAGTAAGGAGTTGGGTTTGGAGGATGGTTCTAGATCAAATTTACCACGAGGGCCAGGATAGTCAGTGTTTTTCCATGGCGACACTTGAAAAAGAACGAAACAAAAAACCAGAGCAATATTTCATTATTTGATACATCAAGTGAGCCAAAGAGCCACTTGTGTCTCCAGAGATCCAGGTTGCAGATCCCTGGCAGATGGAAAGTCTGATCCCATCTCAATACAGCAGCTAAAAGTAAAGCACTATCATTTTTAATTCATTGATAAAGTAAAATTGTGAAGGTTAAAAAAAATCCACCTCTGAATTTTAACAAAATACATTTATTTAGCATAATTTCTTCTGTTCCCCTGAGTCTTCCCTCTCAAGTCTGCATCTTTACGAGAGGTTTTGGTTCTAAGGACGGTGGAGGATGTTTTGAAAAGCCCCGAGTTGATAGCAGCCCACCGCGGCTGCGTAGTGTCCGTCTCTAGGCAACAGCGTCGGTCCGTAGCGTTCAGGGTCCCTTTAGCTCACACCACGGCAATTTAGCTGACTTTAATATTTCCTGTGTTTTATTTTGGTCATTATTGTTATAATTAGTGTTGATATGTGTGTGATAGGCGAGTCTATCGGACATTTATAGAAATACGGAACAAATCGGTTCAATACGGGACGCAACAGTTAACAGCCAAATACGGGACGGTTCCGTATTTTACGGTGTTGAACAGCGCCCGGCTGGCAGGAACAAACTCGGAGCCTGGTGTTGGCTGGTGGCGGCCACCGGGGGCGCTGTAAGGAGATTTTATTGTTGTAGGAAAACGATACAAACTCTGATTAATGGTAGAATCTGATTTATTTGATCAATTGGGACCGCACTGTCCGTGACCCGGTTCTGGAAAACTGTAAACCCAACTAGCTGACAGGTCCAGAGAAACACAACGGGACCGGAAAGTCAATTTGGTTTGAAAGGATTCAAACTAAACTGATTCATGATCAGCTGATTGGAGGAGACCAGCAGGAAGGGGCGGGGCTTCAGCCCTCAGATTTAAAGAGCAATGCACATCGGAGGAACCCAATTGCGTGACCCGTTTCCACCTGGTTCTGTTCAGGAGCTTCCGATAGATTCAGACTGTGGTCCAGAAACCCGTTTGGTACGAACGGCTCATCTAAAGCCAGTTAAACAGGAACTGGTTCCAGACTGAACCAGAACCGCTCTGGATCCGTCTCAATGCCCTTTATAATCCGTCACTGGTTCCAGGTGGAACGGGTCCATCTGGAACCTGGTCGGGCTGGACCCGAAGCAGTCTCTGGACCCGGTCCAGGATGATCTGGTTGGCGCTGCTGCAGTCGTCGGGTCGATATGGGGCCCGGATGGTCAGAACATGGGCGACCCGAAGTTCGTTCCCATCCTCCTCTACCGGAACCCGGTTCTGCTGGAGCCAGCGGCGGACTCCAGACCTCCTCCAGTGTCGCTCGTCCGGATCCGGGCCACCGGTCTCCGGAGGCGGGAAGAGGGAGCGGAGCCGCTCCTCCGTGTCCGGGTCCGGTTCCTGCAGAACTTCCACGTCTTCCACGGCGTGACCCAGAACCACCTGGACCGACGCACCGTCCTCCCCGAAGCTCACCAGAGCCACACTGGAGACAGAACCAGAACCACATCAGAACCACAGTGGAAACGGAATCAAAACCATATCAGAACCACAAGCTGGTTCTGAAGCATTACGTGGGCCGGAAGAACACCCTCAGCGGCCCTGACCGGAAGTGGTGACGTGTGTCTCACCTGTGGGAGACCGGGTCCACGGTCAGCAGCCAGCCGCGGTGCTCCTCCCGCTGCTTTCCCGCCGTCACCCTCACCTGTCTGTGGACGCAGCGGAGCCACAGCTGCGGACCTGAATGAAGCCAGCCGCTCTGCATCACGGTCCAGTAGTCGGTCTGCCCTCTTCTGAACACTGGCCCCACTCTGCAGGCGTCCGAAGGAAACATGGCAAACACAAGAGTTCCGCTTTATCCTCCACAAAGAGCCGCTGCTGCCCCCTGCAGGCCGGGAACAGAAACAGTGAGGTTTGATTTCCTTTGAAGGGAAAATTAATGTTCAAACTAAAGATTTTAGATGTTGTAAACATGAGGTGCAGATTTTTTACAACTGAGCAGCGATGTGTTATAAACAAGACGAGGTGAAAAAGAAAAGAAGACGTTTGTCCAGGTGGGAAATTGTCTCTATAATCTCCAGGATTACAGAGAATAATGTAAAAATAAAGTTAAACTTGCATCTTAGAAAAACCTGAAAACTTTCAGATCACTCCAGAAATATTGAAATCGACATTATTTTATCTATCAGCACCAGTTAATGCTTCAAAGTCTGTGTTCAATTTGTAGTTGAAACTTGGAAATTCTGACTCCTCAAAGTCGGATCCAATATGGCTACTCCTCACATTACCAGTATGCTGTGGCAAAAACGTGTTTGTATGACCAGAGTCAAAATCAATGTGACATACAGAACCTGCATGTTTCCATGTAGAAAGTACAGTTTAAATGATGCTTGCTACCTCCATCAAGATGATGATAATGTGTTGTGGTAGCGCTACGGCACTGGAGATAACCCTTCAAGTAAAAAAAGAAAAGAATAGTTTTTGGATTTTTTTATTATCTAACCCTCTTTACTATTAAAATTGTGGAGAAAAATTATCTTTTGGGTGAAAACGTCTTGTAGCAGCAAGTCTGTTGTGGGAACGCCAAAGCCTGAATCCGATTGGTCAGTTTGCTTTTGTTTATTTGGCAGCTTGGTGTTTTTTCTGTGAGCTAAAAATGAAAGAGGGAGTTTGATCCTCCCGTAGTTCAAAGAGCCGTTTGGATCCCGCCTGAGCTTTTCAGCTGTGTGGTTCTGGTGGGTCGCCGGTTTTATGGTTTGGCGAACGGAAGAGCTGATGGGTCACCGGTTGGCCGACCGTGAAATCTGCCGCTCTTCCTGAGCGTGGCGCTACACCTGCGGGTTAAACAGTGGAAATGTTGACCAAAGAGTAGAAATGAAGCAGACATTGTTGCTTCTCCTCCTCTGGACGTCTCAGAGCCACCGGAACCTGGGAATNCTTTTACTTAAGTACGTTTTTGGATACTTTCTCCACCACTGCAAATCAACAGCAATATTTTTGGTTTAGTTAGCCTGTCTAAAGAAAAGACATGACTTCTTAAAGTCAGATATTCACTTTGTTGTTCATACATTTATAAGTCTCACTGGAACCAAAATTTACTTTGCTTGCAAATTAAATATTTAAATAGGAAGCTAAACAAGTCCATATTTAGCTGGGAAGCATTTAGCTTTTTTATTGGTCTGATTTAATATTCTAATCTTAAATGCTGATTTATTAGGCAAATCAGCATTTATTATTTTATCAACAAAATAATGCACCTCCTATGATGCTGATTTGTTTGTTGTACGTACCAAATAGGTTGCGATCATGAGATATTGCCTTTGCAAAACATGGCTGCAAGGCTTAAAGTAGACCAATAACAGTTACTGGGAGGTGAATTTTGGCATTATTACTGTTATAAAAATCATATAGGCTAATGTTATAAAAATCAAAACCTATAGGCTAATGTTTATCTATTGTCGATTTAGCTATGTAGACCTGAGTAGTTTCCAAGTGCTGATGCAGAATATCATACATTTCTGCCAGTCTGTTACTTCTAAAGTTAACCAAATATGAAAAGCTGATTTCTTGGGTAACTAAGGCAACCAGGTGGAGTAAGTAGTCGGCTGCTCGACAGACTTGCTGATGGTAGCTTGCCAGCTGTGGCATTACGCTGCTTTACTTTATGCACTGTGACTTTTTCTGTTTTTTTGGGACTAAAAATATCTCCAAATCATCTAAATTTTTTAGTCTTAGAAGCAAAGGAAAAGTGTAATAAATGTTTTTTTTTCACCCAGCACTCTGGCGATTTCTTTGGGATCTGATAAAAGGATTTTAAACTGCAGAACATTTTAATAGTTTCTAATCTGCAACCGTTCAGACTTCAAAAATCTGTGCATAAACACAAAGCTGGCCCAGCGTGATTGTTTGGGTTTATCTCTGCCGTTTACCCAAGATGCTTTTGGGGGAACAACGAATAAAGGCTCAGCTGTTGCTCAGGGTTATGTTGGTGATGTAAGTTGTGATGTCCTGGGGTGAGGGTGTCAGCTCTGTTCGCAAAAAGAAACTTTCTCTTGAGTTCACTCAGCAGCTTTCATGTTGACTGGCTTCCAGCTGAAATGATCACGTCACTTTTTTTGTTTTGTGTGCTAAAGTCAATGGTGATATGTTTCAATTTCCTCCACCTTTCTGATGCATTCAGCGTTCAATAAAAGTTCACCAAGTTCACTAATTTCGGAGCTAACACAGCAAACACGGGATACTGCAAAGAGTTGTGCCCTTTCCGAGTTCCTTCACAGAACTGAAAACACAACACGCTCCCCTTTTCTTTTTTTCTTTTTTTTTGTCTCCTGGGGAGAGCGCAGGGTCTGGATGTGAAATCTGAGAGCGTTTTCCTGCTGTGTGCTTTACAGTGCCAGAGCACTCACTGTAATTTACCAAAAGTGGCTGCTATTTATGCCATAAAGCATGTGTTTAACATTCCTGAACCCCACTGTGTTTGTGTATTCCTCGCTCGCTCGCTTGCTCTCCCACTCACTCCCTGGTTGTCTCTGTGGCTGTATTTCTATTTGTGTGTGTGTGTTTTAAGTGGAAATGGTCCCTACAGAGCAGCAGCCTTTTCCCTCTTCACAGGAGGATCATCTCTTCTTCGCCTCTCCCCCCAACCCCCCGCCCCTCCTGTGAGACAGAGGCCCGACAGGAAGTGGGAGTTTACACTGGCCTACTTTAACCCCCACAAATAAACTGCATCTCTGGGTTGGAAGAGCTGCAGAGATCAAGCGCTCGTTCTGTTGCTGCACTTTGCCACGACCAGCTCCGTGTTCCTCCCATGTCTTGATTCATCCCACCCTCCATCCGAGGCTTTCAAGGGTGGAGCCGGGTGGCCGGGAACTAAAGAGTGGCCTTCGGGGCAGCGGCGGCAACAGCAGCAGCAGTCAGGGCTCATGATCTGTGAGACAGGAAGGAGCTGTCAGCATCTCGTAAACAGCAGTCATCTGCTCTCATGATACTTGAGGCCTGGTGAGAGCACTTCCAGGGAAGGGCCTTCGCCTCGGCTGCGGGCTGACTGCGGCGAAAAGTATGAAGGGTAGCGCCGATGCTGCATATGACCGTCATCTGAGGGTCGGTGTTCATTTAGCAAAAATTTCACAGTTTCCCGCTGGTAAGCTGATCATCTCCGGGGGAGGGACTGGCCTACTCACAGCGTGTCACTGTAATAACCGTTGGAACGTTTGAGCATTTTGGATTTGCGACAGTGAAGCGAGACAAATGTTTCTTTTTCTTTTTTGTTTGTTTTTTTTTTTACTAATGCAAATCTGAAAAGTTTGAAGAACCACGCTGTTCGCTGTAGTTTCAAATGTGAGTCTACCAACTAAGTCATTCATTAATTTTCCTTTATTTAACCAGGTTCAAACTGGCCTTACAATGCAATCCCACTCAATTCTCATTTCCCTTCACAGCTCAGTCTGGGCTTTCTCCCATTGACTGTGATTTCTCTGGTAGTATTTTTACCGGGCCAATCAGAAAACAGAAGGATAAGTTGTGAACGACAGCGTTCATTTTCTGCACCGCTTTAGAATTGCTGCTGCCTGTAGTTTTAGCTGTGGCTCCGGAAGAACTGAACAACGCTGTTCAGTCCATGTTGCCCACTCTTCTAACACCTTGTTCAGACCAGTACTTCTCTCTTAGCAGAGGAGCATGGTTGTTTCCATCACAGGCAATTTCCGGTAAGCTTCATAGCATCAAACATTCGTCACGGGCAAACGTTAGCAATTGGGTAAATTGTAAAACAGAGTCTGCGGCTTCTGCTAGCAGAACCGAATGCTTGTTTCGCTTCTTCTGTCCAAATACATTTAACTAGCAAAGGGAAAATGTTGGAGTGAAAAGTTTCATAGATCAGAATCATCAAACTAATGTATCTCCGTACACTTAGAGGAGGTCAATCAGCTTTTGTACAAGATACAACTCGCAATGACGCGTCTACAGCCTCTTACAAACCTCAAAACAATGTTGTTGTTTTTTCTTTTCTTTTTTGCAAAATAGTTCAAGCTTAGTTAGCTTGGATGCCTTTGCATCTGACTAAGAAAACATCTGACTAATCCCTGTTTGCAAATGCAAACAAGCCTTCTCACAAGCTCTCATTTAGATTTAGATCTGGACTTTGGGCTATTTTAGAACATGGATATCCTTCCAACGTAGCAATGGAAGCAGGAGTTTATATTCTGTGGAAGGCAAACCTCTGCTGCAATCTCAAGTCTTTTGCGACCTCCAATAGGATTTCTTGGAGGATTGCTCTGTTACCAGCTTCCCAAAATGAAAAAAATTACATCCCCACAGCCACCACCATGCTTCTTTATTGGCATTATGCATTCAAGGTGATGGTTGGTTTCCTCCAGACATGTACAAAAAGCTTTAGCCTTGATCTCATCCGTAGGATCTTTGTCTTCATGTTTGCTGTGTTCCATTCGGAGCTTGGAGCAAATTGCAAACAGGGCTTCTTGCACTCATCTAGCCATTAGAAAGAACAACTGACATGTGATATTTGCCATGTATTTGCGGGTTTGCAGTTGTACCATTTTCAGAAGATGACTTGTACAAATGTCTGGCCTTACCACTTCTTCACAGGCTGTTTGTTCTCTAATGGTCTCTACAACCTTTTGAGGCCTTATACAGAACAGATGGATTTATACCAAGATGACATTACACACATATGGGTTCTCTTTACTAATTACTAAGTCCCACCAGACCTGTTTAGTCCACTTTAATCACTCTAATTCGTTTGCCTTGAAAGTATAGTTAGTTTGGGGAGGTGTGAATGCGTAATCAAACTCTGATGCGGACTGAAAAAAGGCAGACAGTCTCGGTTCGGTTGAAGTGAACTCTGGTGTGGTTCAGAAGCATATGTGAACACCAAGCGGACCGGAGGTCGTTCAAAAACCAGG